GTGATTAAATCCGTTTTTTTTTAATAAAAAAAACATTTTTTTTTTTTTTTTATTAATTTTTTTATATTTATCGCTATAATTAATACCAATAAAGGATCTATTTATTGCTGCTTCTGTGCTGCATCTTGCTGCTGCACAGCAGCAAGAAGATATACTTTTGCTGCAGTTATATGGATCTTCTTTTCCCCATGGATCTATACATACATATCCGCATCCTTCTTTTTTTTTTTCTTCTTCTGTCTTATCTAATTTATATTCACAAAAAGGTTCACCTAATACTATATTATTATTATTATTTATTATATTATTTATATTATTTATATTATTTATATTATTTATATTATTATTTATTATTAATATTATACATATACATAATAATAATCTTTTTATTCTCCTTTTTATTCTTCTATTAATGTCTAGCATCTTCTTGTTGCTCACATAGCATTATTCGTGTATATATATCTATATATATACTTATTTATATATTAATTATTATTTTATTTTATTTTATTTACTTTTATTAATAAAATAAAGAAAAAAAAGGGGGAAAAAGAAGAAAAAAAGACGAAAAAAAAAAGAAAATATTCTTTATTGTTTATACACACGAGACGGAAGGAAACAGAACATAACACATAAATAATTATTCTTTTATTTTCTTTGTTTTCTTGGCTATTTTTATCCTTTTTTTCTCTATTTTATTCTTTTATTTATTATTTAATTAAATATATTAATTAATTTAATTAAAAAAGAAGAAAAAATACACAAAAAATGAACATTTTATACCCCGCAGTCGATCGATACAGACAGAGGAAGAAGACGAGGAGGAGCTGCGTATACACCCCAACAGCAAGAAAAAAAAAAAGATTTTTTTTCTTCTTTTTTATGCAATAAATAAAAGAAATTATTCATTTTATTTATTTATTTTATTCTTTTGTTTTATTCTTTTTATTTATTTTATTTATTATTTGTTTTTTTATTCCTTTTTCTCTTCTTTTTCTTCTCTTTTTACCTACTAGTAGTGGGGTCACCGCAATAACGCATGCAAGGATCTGTTTTTTCTTCTTCTTTTTTCCTTTTTATTTCTTTTATTCTTTTTTATATTAATTAAATTAATTAATTTAATTAATTAAATTAAATAAATAAATTAATTAATTAAATAAACAAAATAAATAATAGAGTTCTCTCTTCTCTTGCTGCACACAAACAGTCTGCTCGTTATGCCCGCCGCATGCAAACCTACACCTACTAACGCAGCAGCTAGCTACAGCTAGCTACAGCTAGCTACAGCTAGCTATAGCTAGCTGTATGTACCCAGCAGCAGCTAGCTGTAGCCAGCAGCAGCTAGCTACGTAGTTAGCCGTAGCTAGCTAGTTAGGGTTATGTGTATTAACTATTAACTGTACATAGCTGTGTGTAGCTAGCTACGTAGCTAGCTGTATATAATAAATAATAAATAAATAATAAATAATAAATAAATAAACAAACAAATAAATTAATAAATAAATATAAATATAAATAAATAATAATAAAAAAAATAAATAAATATATAATTAATAATAAATAAATAAATAAATAAATAAATAAAAATTAATAAATATACAAAAAGAAAAACCTCTAGGCTTTATTGGCCCCTATACAGGACACAGCAGCAGCAGCAGCAGCAGCAGCTGCTGCTGCTGCTGCTGCTGCAGTTGCTGCTGCTGGAGCAACAAAAGAATCAAATAATCTTAACTAATCAAACCCTAGCAAGACAGCAAGCAGCAGCAGCAGCAGCAGCAGCAGCAGCAGCAGCAGCTGCTGCTGCTGCTGCTGCTGCTGTTGCTGCTGCTGTTGGTGCTGCTACCTTTAGACTTCTAATGGATCGTCTGCTGTACCGGCACACCACGCAGCAGCAGCAGCAGCAGCATCAGGCTCAGTTGCTGCTGTTGCTGCTGCTGCTGCTGCTGCTGCACCATCATAGCTAATGTCTTCATCCTCTGAATCACTAAGAGAAGGCAAATTAAATATGTCTGTTGCTGCTGCTGCTGCTGCTGCTTCTGCTGCTGCTGCTTCTTCTGCTGCTCCTGTTGCTGCTACTGCTACTGCTGCTCCTTGTGTTGCTGCTGCACTTCCTGTGTCTAGCAGCAGCAGCTGCTGCTGCCCTTCCCCAACCTGCTGCTGCTGAGTCAGGCTCCAGCTAGTAGCAGCAGGAGCAGCAGCAGCAGTATCATTGTTCGCAGCAGCAGCAGCAGCAGCAGCAGCAGAATTTGCAGCAACAGCAGCAGAGGATACACCCGGGCCTTCATATAACTCCTTTAATGCAAAGAAGATCTGCAGCAAAAAAAAGCAGCAGCAAGACAGGCCTCCAATCGTAAACCCTAAACCCTAAACCCTAAACCCTAAACCCTAAACCCTAAAGCCTTACCTTTGCAAGTCTTGCATTTCCCTTGAGTTGCGTTAGCCGTTTTACTGGATAAGGAGAATGACGGGGAGTCCCTTGTTTGCTGCTGCTGCTGCTGCTGCTGCTGCTGCGCTTTGGCGTTGCTGCAGCAGGAGGAGTAGTAGCAGCAGGTGTTGCTGCTGCTCCTGCTGCTGCATCTGCTGCTGCAGCAGAACCTCTTTGCTGCTTGAGCTTCTGCAGGAATGCCGCAAAGAGTTCCTCTGTCCTTGCAATCTCCATCTCCTTGCTGCTGCTGCTGTTGCTGCTGCTGTAGTTGCTGCTGCTGCTGCTGCTGCTGCTGCTGCTGCAAAAGAAGCGCCGCAGCATGGCTGGTGTCTGGAAGGCAGCAGCAAGTTGCAGCGCCATTGAGCTCCCAACTCCTTCTACCTGCAGCAGCAGCAGCAGCAGGAGCAGCAGGAGCAGGAGCAGCAGCAGCAGGAGCATGAGCATCAGGAGAATGAGCACCTAATACAACAAATAGTACTCCTAATCTGTACTCTACGGTTTAGGGTTTAGGGTTTAGGGTTTAGGGTTTAGGGTTTAGGGTTTACGGCTCTTAATTGTAAGAGGAAGATTTCTTGTATATTTAGATGACTTTGCTTCCTTACACTCTCACACCATACTGACCATAATAAATGCTGCTGCTGCTGCTGCTGCTGCTGCTGCTGCTGCTGCTGCTGCTGCTGCTGGTACCACTGCCATTGGGCTGATAGCTGCTGCTGCAGACGACGATGCAGCAAAGTTAGAAGAGCAGCTCTATGCATAACACCACAAACCCTAAACCCTAAACCCTAAACCCTAAACCCTAAACCCTAAACACTAAACCCTAAACCCTAAACCCTAAACCCTAAACACTAAACCCTAAACCCTAAACCCTAGAGGGATGGTAAGTATGGTTTAGGGGTACTTACGAGTGTCTAGGGTTTACTGCATGCAGGACATGGAAGCCAGACAGCAGCAGCGCATGCACTTGGGCTGTACGTACAGCAGCAGCGTTACGCTGCACCTGTGGTGCAGCAGAAGCAGCAACAGCAGCAACTGCAGCAGTACTGCTGCTGCTGCTGCTGCTGCAGTCCCCCTCAAATAAATAAATCGCCATTTCTATCCCCAATGCATCCATCAATCGCTGCTGCTGATCTTTATACCTGTACACCATAAACCCTAAACCCTAAACCCTAAACCCTAAACCCTTACAACCCTAAACCCTAACAATCCTAAACCCTTAACCATTAATCGTAAACCCTAAACCCTAAACCCTAACCCTTAAACCTGTAGAATACAAACGGTATATTTTAGTAAGGAGGAAACCCTAAACCCTAAACCCTAAACCCTAAACCCTAAACCCTAGCTGACCTTCCGTCAAAGACGGAGGCTAAGAGATCCCCTGGTGTTTTTCTCTCTATTAATATTGGCAGCAAAAACTCAAGTTGCTGCTGCTGCTGCTGCTGCTGCTTCTGCTGCTGCTTCTGCTGCTTCTTTTGCTGCTTTGCTGCTGCTGCTGCTGTTCTTGGCGCTTCTGCACCTGCTTTTCCCCTCGATGTTGTTGCTGCTTCTGCTGCTACTGCTGCTTCTGCTGCTGCTGCAGCTTCTGCTGCTGCTGTTGCTGCTGCTGCTGCTGCATCAGGTCTCCATAACCAAGCAAAGTCCCCTACAGGGAGACACCTTATCTCTACAGGGACTTTGTTGCGCTGCAGCAGCCGCTGCAGCAGCGTTTGCTGCTGCATGCGTTTGCTGCGGCTGCTGCTGCCATGGCGCTCTCTTGTATCCATCAGCAGCAGCAACTCAGGAGGTTTGTTGCTAGCAGCAAGTGCTGCTGCTGCTGTTGCTGCTCCTGCTGCCAACGCACGAGCTGCCTGCAACCGTTGCTGCTGACGTGTACCGCCAGAGTCTGCTGCTGCTGCTGCTGCTGCTGCTGTTGCTCCTGCTGCTCCTGGCGTTTGTGCTGTTGCTGGATCTGTTGCTGCTGCTGCTGTTGGTGCTCTTGCCGGCGTTGTTGCTGCTGCTGTTGCTGCTGCTGCTGTTGCTGCTGTTGTTGGATTGACCTTAGCCCGCGCCTTAGGAGATTTGCGCCGTGATGGTGGTGTTGCTGCTGCTGTTGCTGCCTTTGCTGCTGCTGTTGCTGCTGCTGTTGCTGGAACTCCTGTTGTTGCTGCTGCCATTGCTGCTGTTCCTGCTGCTATTGCTGCTGCTTCATCCCCTGCTGCTGCTGCTGCTGCTGCTGCTGCTGCAGTTGCTGCCTTTGCAGCCCTTCTTATCCTCTCCAGGAGAGGCTCCACTACGAAGCTGCTGCTGCTGCTGCTGCTGCTGCTGCTGCACGGCACTGTTCCTGCTGCAGCAGTAGCATCTGCTGCTTCTGCTGTTGCTGTTGTTGTTTTTGCTGCCGTTGTTGCTGCTGTTTTCTTTGGCGTGGGTAGCGTTTCTTCTGTTGCTGCTGCTGCTGCTGCTGCGGTTGCTGCTGCTGCTGCTGTTGCTGCAGAAGCTGTCAGCATAAGTGCTGGCGGTAGCGAAGGAGGAGGAGGAGGAGCAGCAGCAGCAGCAGGACTTGCAGATTTGCTGCTGTTGTTGCTGCTGCTGCTGCACC